CCTTCCATTTAGGGCTGCCAACTTAGCTTCTTCATCTGCCTGTCTGTTTCCAACTGCCAACTGCCACGGGGTCGTTCCCCTTCTAGTGCCCATGACAGTGCACTATAGCTAGTTCTTTAGGGCCTTTTACTGCCGAGAGAAGGTGGAGGATCTCATCTTTGTTCTTTATTTCCTTCCCGGCAGAGGTTAATAGTCCCCTTTGCTGGTAAATAGCCCCGTGCACATGAGCAGTGGCAAATGCATAGCGGCTATCAGTGTATATGGTGGCTCTTTTGCCTGATGCTAGCTCCAGTGCTTTCGTAAGGGCAATTAGTCCTGCTTTTTGAGCTGATGTCCCTTCGGGGAGGCCAGAGGACCAGATAACATTAGTTTTGCTAACTACTGCTGCTCCAGCCCGCGGCTTACCGCTTGTCGTCTTGGAGGAAGCTGCTCGGGTCTGTAAACCATATGACCTCAGGGCAGGGCAGTGGCTAATCCTTTAAGTCTCCGCGTACACTGGTCTCCTCTGCCAGTATGTGTTGACAATCATGAGCGAGGGTCCTGATGATTCTTCCGGCAGCAGTGTAGCCAGGTTAAGTGGAGCAGGGGGTCCCAGCATTATTCTGTCTTTGTCAAGCAAGAGGCTCTGGTAATAGGTTATTCTGGAATTTGATAACCACCTGTCTGGAGGCTGACAGATGATGCTCTCCAGGGAATGGGGGGCTATGATGGTCAGCTTCTGCCCCAATGTTAATTTATCAGCATCCTTTATTAGAAGGGCTGCCGCCGCTATAGCCCTTACGCAATGGGGCCACCCACTAGCCACTGAGTCCAGTTTTTTTGATAAGTATGCTACTGGCCTTCTCCAAGGTCCCAAAGTCTGAGTGAGCACTCCTCGTGCTATTCCTTTCTTTTCCTCCATGTACAGAGTGAAGGGTTTTTCTACATCTGGGAGTGCTAAGGCTGGGGCAGATAGCAGCGCCTTTTGATATTATCAAAAGCCTGTTGGTGTTCAGGGGTCCATTGGAATTGTGCATCCCCCTTTATCAGCAGGTATAGAGGGGCAGCCAAAGACGCAAACCCAGGAATCCATAACCTGCAAAAGCCAGCAGTCCCAAGAAACTCTCTGAGTTGTCTCTTATTAGATGGGGGTGGTATCTGCACAACAGTTCATTTTCTGGGCTCAGTAAGCCATTGTCTGCCACCCTTAAGAGAATAACCCAGGAAGACTACTTCTTGTTGACAAATTTGGGCCTTTTTGGCAGAAGCCCTATATCCGAGCTGAGCAAGCTCGGATAATGGTGCTTGGGTCCCAGACTCACAGTTCTCCTTGGTGTTGGCTGCCAGCAGCAGATCATCCACATATTGGAGTAGGGTGACTTCGGGGTGTGCAGTTCTGAAGTCGTTGAGGTCCCTGTGGAGAGCTTCATCAAAGAGAGTAGGAGAGTTTTTGAACCCCTGTGGGAGTCTAGTCCAGGTTAGTTGGCCAGATGTTCCTGTTTCTGGATCTATCCACTCGAAAGCAAACAACAACTGACTGTCCTTATGTAGGGGCAAGCAGAAGAAAGCATCTTTTAAGTCCAGCACAGTGTACCATTTTCAGTCCGGATTCAGAGTGCTAAGCAAATTATATGGATTAGGTACCGTGGGGTGAATATTCTGCACTCTGTTGTTGATCTCTCTTAGGTCCTGAACAGGACGGTAGTCCCCAGTTCCTGGCTTTCTTATTGGTAGCAGGGGGTATTCCAGGCCGACTGACAGGGCCTTAGGACCCCAAGAGCGAGGTATTTCTGAAAATGAGGCCTTATCCCCTCCCTAGCTTCTTTGCTTAGAGGGTATTGTTTAACACTGATTGGAGAGGCAGAGGCTTTTAATTCTACTACTATTGGAGGTTGTTTTATGGCTAGACCTAACCCAGCAGTTTCTGCTCAGGCATCAGGATAATCTTTTATCCATCTCTGGGGTAGTCTACCTGTTTGATCAGTCCCAGGGGCCGAGAAGAATTGATGTTCATCTTCTACTGACATAGTCAGAGCCGTGACTATGGGGGGTCTTTACTGAAGGGTTTAGAAACTCCACTTGGGGACCATCAGGGTTAAAGGTTATTTTAGCCC